GAACCAACATGTAAATTCGATTCTCTCATGGGACTCATGCCCAAGCTTTCAGTGTATCGGTGTGGTTCCGAGCCAATCAGAGTTAATATTTATATCAGGTGTGGTATCCAAGCCATCATTGTTAGTGTACTGGTGTGGTAACCGAGTCAACCATATGTGTATATCCCCATATCAGGCATGGAATCCGAGCCAACCGTTAGTATATACCAGACGTGGTATTCGAGCCACCCATGGGGATATCTTGTACTAGGCATGGTACCCAAGCCAACCAGCAATCACAAAAAATCATGCATAATCACAAACATAATGAACAATAATACTTGAAACCTCAAGTCACATAAACATGTTCATTGCATGAAATTATCAACACGATATCATTTCATGTGTTTTCATATGTCTTCCCCAACATACATTACACAAGTGATACTAATGAGCAGTAAACATGCATACATACACATATTGAACAACACAACCATACCAATATATTAATGTCCCAACATTGAACCACATTTTGAGTGCACATGGGTTCCCGTTGATTACCACAAGTACCAGAAATGACTATAACCCAACAATTTCATAACACTTAACCTTACAATTATCACAAAATCGCCCAATAAAAAAACTCAAAGTTAACAATCAAGAACTAGAGAACCGCCCCATAGTCATTATCTTTCCCCACCTTAACAACAATAAACAACAACCTTTAACCATTCAAACTTTGTGCCCTAAGGCCTAGGCATGAAATCTCCCGTCAATCTTCAAAATATCATGTAATTAGAAACATGTCTAGACTACTCAGTTAAAAAAACCTAACCTACCTAGACGTCAAGCTGTTGCGACAAGTAAGTTGTGCGGTTGCTGATCTTCCTTCTTATTCACATTTATGAAGGCTAAATAATCTAATAATAACAACTATAAGAGTAATTAATAAACTACTCTTCCAACAAATACTTTGGATTTCAGACCCACTAGATCTACCCTCCAATCTACTCAAAAACTCTATATTTTGAAAGGGTTAGATCAATTTCTAGTCCCAAGGACAATCTATCAATGCTAACTCCAATTCAAGAGATTTTCAACCTATAAATTTCCTTTACATCAGAAAATTCTACCTAGGTTAACTTTCTACCCCCATCATGATCAATCTAATGTTATTCAAGGATTAAAGAATCAAATGAGTGTAAGATCGATGAAAGGACTTACCTTGAAGGAGGAAATCAATGGAAAATTTAAAAAATCACCATTTCGTAGCTCTAGCCCGACTTTGAATGAGGCTTAGGAGTAAAATAACATTTTAGGTCTAAAAATTGCATTTAATTGCGCGTATCCCGCTGTAGCAGTCCCGCTATAGAGGTCTCATCTTTTCAGCACGGACAATCTTTGGTAAAATGGTCATAACTTTTTATTACGAACTCTAAATTATGCAAACGTGGTGGAGTTGGAAAGAAGACTAATAGACCTTTAATTTGAAAGGTTATGGGTCACCTAATTCATTATAGTCTGAGACATATGGTTGTTTGAAGTTGACCTTAGTTTAAACTTAAGCCCGAAACTAAATCGTAAAGGCACTTTCAATTGAACATTGTGATAGGGGCATTGTACTACCATAATTCATAACTAATGCACTCGCAACCAAGGAATTGATCCTAACCCAGTGACGAATGAGACTCGTGTACCTTTACCACATATATTTTCAGTAACAATGGAATAGGTTGTTACAATATATGTATTGATACATATATATTTGAGTTATAACCTTCATATTGACACATGTAGTCGTCAAATACAACATGTATCTAAGCATATCTCTTCTTTCTATTCTAAAACTCGCTCACATTTGTCCTCTCTCTCCCAATCTTGATCGATTCTCTTCTCCCTCTAATAGCCTTAATATATCGAATACGGTCTAATATATATATTTAGAATCTCTCCTCTCTCAAACTATGTCTATGAATAGTAGGGGTGTACAAAATCGAACCGCAAATCGAACCAAACCACAAATCGAGTCAAACCGGAAAAAAAACCCGACTTGTGGTTTGGTTTGACTTGGTTTGGTATTGGAAAAAAAACCAACTATATTTGGGTTGGTTTGGTTTTAACTAAAAAAAAAATCAATCCGAGACCAAACCAACCCGACATTATATATGTAATTTTAAAATTTTATTTATACATAAAAATATTTACTTTGATATAATTTTAAAATATGTCTTATACTATTTCATAGTTTTTATCTTTTAATATATTATTTCAAGTTTAAAACTTAGAATTCAGAATGGTCCAATAATAAAGATTATAGTTCAAAGATGTTGATAATTATAATAAAACTTAAATCAAAATAAAATTAATACTAATGCAAAAAGAAAATTAATTCAACACTAAGAATGACAATAATATTGAATATTTGTTCTTTAGTTTTACATTGGTTTAGACAATTAAAATACATAATCTAATTTTAATTTTTCTTAAATATTTAATAATATAACTAATACTTATTAAACTTATTTTAGCATGATTTTGTACTTTTAAATTATGATCATTTTCATTATGACTTTGCAATATTTATTTTATATGATGATTTCATTATTATTTTTTATTGAATATTTTAGTGTCATCAGTACTCGTCTCATATTTTGTATTATTTTCTTAAGAAACACCTTAGATAATTGTATTTTGGTTGGACTAAAGAAATATTTGGAGCACAAGTTAATTATATGTTTGTGTACAAACTTTACCGAAAAAATCCCAAAATCTGAAAAAATTCGAGGTTTATTAGTTTGGTTTGATTTATAAATTTAAAAATTTGACACAATGGTTTGGTTTGGTATTTGAAAAACCAGAACCAACTCGAGGTTGAAAAACCCAAAAAAATCTGAATTTTATTAGTTTGGTTTGGTTTATAAATTTAAAATTCTTACACAAATGGTTTGGTTTGACATTTGAAAAACCCGAACCAACCCGGTCATGTACACCCGTAATGAATAGTAATTATACAATTATAGCTACTCCTGTACGGGCCACCTAACTCATCCTGTATGGAAAGTTATGGCCGTTTGAAGTTGACCCAAAACTCACATCTTAAGTTTAACTTGCAAAATTTCAGATTTTGCTATTTCCAATTTAGTTCTTTCTATTTTTAGCTCTTTCAAATACCGAGGTGTTACATGTAAGTTCCTCTAAATATATATATTAGAGCCCGTCAATATGAGCTTGACCCGCTAAGCTAGATCAGCCTAGTTCACGATTTGATAGAATTGGACTAAAACTACTAGAGTCCATTTTAGAATGAGATTTTTTTAGTTCACCTTAAGTAAGCCCATAGGCCTGTGAGTAGGGTTATTCATGGTTATGGTTAAAAAATCAAATCGAACCATAATCCGAATCAAACCGATAGTTGGTGTGGTTTGGTTAGGTTGGTTTTAATTTCTTAAAACCGATACTATTTGGTTTTGTTTTACTAAAAATAACCTACAAAATCAACCAAATCGAACCGAAAAATTATATATATAAATTTATAATTATTTATATATTATTCATAAATAAAATATAAATATTTTGTTAAATTGTAATTAACTTAAGCCTTAACTTACCATTTTCTCAAGCCCAACACTTAAATTTTAGCCCGACTATTAAAACCCTAAGACCAAGTCCATCAAAATCTATTACTTTAATCTTTACCTGCCCTACGTCACATTAGATTGTCATATTTTCTCTTAATTGAATCACTGTATTCGTATAATAATAACTCTAGTATTGCTTAATTGAATACATAATAACTTTCTTGTGGATTCTTCATGTATTAGGTGTCAGTATCTATCGAGATGTGTATATTCTCAACAAATTTAATTTATTACTTTCAAACCCAAAAATACAAAAAATCCAAACCAAATCGACAACAACCGAACCGACGGTTATTTTTTTCATTTGGTTTGGTTTGGTTTTAAAAAATTAAAAATAGACTAAATTGGTTTAGTTTTGGTTTTAACCAAAAACCAATACCGAACCATGAACCCCCTACCTGTGAGGCTTGAGCGAGGCTGAGCTGGGCCAGCTCATGAGACAAACAAAAAATAAATATTTCAAAAATATATAAATAACGGCAAACACTAGTGCAATGAACTCAAATCCAAATCCAATGATGACTCCAACTAGTTTCTCAACTATATTAATAAGGTTAAAGTTCAATTACAATTTCACAAAGTAAATGCAACAACTCAAAAGGCATAAGCCCAAAAGGAAATACAGAAATGTTGAAAGTAAGAACTAGGATCGAATGAAGAAGGAGACGAGAAACTAGACGTAGAGAAAGCAGAATGAGAGATACAGACTTTGCCTAAGCATGATCATAATACACATTAACTATTCTTTCTAACCGAGGGTTCCTAAAAACTAGTTGATAATTGGGCCTGGATCCCAAATCAACCTTTCTGAAGGTCTTTTGCTTCTATTTCTTGGCCCAACAGTTGCCTGTGTGACATCCCTATAGGTATTGACGCTGGACTTGGACTTATTCATAACAACTAGCCGTTATGAAAACCATCCTAGCAGCCGAGACGAATGTTACCCTTTATTCATAAATGTCATTAATTAGGCTATTTATCACGAGTTATGGAAAGTGATCCCTATATAAGCTATGGGAGATCACCACCTTGTAGAGACACATAAATCAAATCATTACTCTACTGAACTACCATTTTTTTCCTAGCAATTTCAATACTCGTCTCATAAGCTCATCGGATCAACACATGCTATATTAATCCTTTATCTACTTATCATATTCAATTCATTATTTTGCTTGCTTTTTAGCTATTAATCATTTTATATGCCTAGCATCAAGACTTTGTTTCTTATCCTTTAAACCTTATTATTAATTCAATTGTACCAACCTTTATAAGGTAAACAGTGGTGCCATTCATATAGAGGACTAGTTTCATTCTTAAAGCCACATTGTAGATAAATTCCAAGCTTGATCATTTATTTAGAAACAATTTGTGTAAGTATTACAATCCATATTAAACAAGTACATACATACATTATACATTAAGGTTTACTACATTATAAGCCATAAATTCAAAGAGAGTAATGTCGAAACCAGCAGAAATTGTTTCCTCTGTCACATTCCTCTGCTTCATCACCTCTAGTATGAATCCACCACAGAAGATTTGTACGCGAGTTTCCATCGTCATAACTAGTTAATCTTCTTGTTTTCTCCAAAGCACTTGTTTTATCATACATCCCTTCTAAAGCATACACAAACCCCTTCCACCCTTCTCCAACGCCTCGTCTTGCAAGAGCTGGAGTTGTCCATTGAACCAACTCTCTCACGAACCGAGCATCAGAAAATACAACTTCAGTAATAGGCAATAAAGGTAAAACCTGAATACCAAGTCTGCATTCTTTCCAATCAGGTGGAGCAAACCAAAGGCCACTGTCCCTTTTATTAGACCATAAAACTCCAACCACACGGTTATTTTTCGTGTATTCCTCCACATACAAGTTGCTTTCCTCTTTAATATGCCACCAAGTTTGTGCTGAATGAATCTCCATAGCTGAAAGAGTTGATCCAATGGCAACAAGATGAGTGTCACCATATGCCAATCCCATTAAAGCTGATGAATAGTACGCGCTCACCGCTTCACTTGTGCTCTCCTGGTTCCTTCCATCTGCAAACTCGGTTAAACCCCCTGCCCAAGAATGCAATTTCCACAAATCAAAGCACCTCAACCGCGTATAGTGTGAAGTTTCTCGCCTGCTTAAGTTCATGAAATCCGCCATAAGAGAATAAGTTTGTGGCCTATACTTTCTTCCCCACATTGGATCTATCTTGACAAGCACTGCAATAGCATAAAGGAAATAACCAATGTGGTAATGGTGATCATTATATACTCCGAATCCAAAATCAGCACCGGAATCCATTGAACCTTGTTTAGTTACAATTCCACCCCATTTTGTATCATAAAAGAAACCATTTGCTTCGAAAGTTCCATCTAACCAAGGTTCAATTGTATCCTTCAAGAATTTGCGGATTGCTGGGATAACATCAACGTAACAAACCTCTTCGGCTATCAATGCTAGCCTTGCAGCTCTTGCAATCAACTTCCCATAAAAGTAAGATGATGATGACAATGTTGAGATTAACGTTGAGTTCAAGTCCGCGACATCCTTAGTCAAAGCATCAATTATTTCAGAACAAGACTCCTCCTTTACACCTTTAATCGAATGCCATGTTACAGAAATCGGATCACTCTTCAATAGCCACGAGTCTCCAACAACGCCAACAAGTTCACCATCAATACTATTGTACTTAAAATCCTCCAAGGTAACACCTGAACGATCCGAGAGCAGTTGAAGATGCAGGGGATGAGCAAGCATCAACAAGTCCCCCCATCCAGCCTTTTCCCACTTGTACTCGACACAAAATGGCTGATTGAAAACAGCATTACCAGATTTAGGATAACAAGAACTAAACCGATCAAGAACTGCTTCATAGTCAGAATTTGGCAAGAGAACAATCCTTATTGTACCTGAAAACTCACTAGAAGTGATATTATTCATATCATTGCTCAAATTGATCGGTGAAGACGCGTACAAAATCCATGTTTGTCCATTATTAAGCTTAATAGTATATTTGGTGAGAGTAGCATTCCAAGAGCATTCAAGAATAGCATGAATCGTAGAAATCTTAAGTGCAACATCAACAATGACATTACAAGTAACAAAGGGACATCCCCTTACAAGAAAGAACCTAAGATTACTCGATGGAAGGTCCAACGTAACACTAAGATCACTAAATGATGAAATAACATGAGGTACATTTGGATTAGGATTATTCAACATAGAAATAGTGAGATCAGCATTGAATATCTGGTAAACGAATGAAGGATTACGGAACTGAGGTGGGTAACAAATACTAAGAGATGAATTCGACGATTTTATAAGATATGGATGAATGTATTCAGGCTGATCACCATTTTTCAAGACAAAGTTTTGAAAGAAAGAATTTGTAGGCAAAGGAGTTGACAAGAGATTATGAGCGAAAAATTGAGACGGATCAGGAAGGACAGTAGATTTTGCTTTTGGAAACAGAAAAGGTTGTAACAATGGCCTAATTTGTTGTTGTTGTGTAGACATTTCAGGGGATTTTGGTGGACTAATTTGAGGAGTTGGTGGCTCTGGCTGAGGAGGAGGTAATTTATAGTGTTTTGAACGTTTCTTGAAAGGTGTCGTGACAAATGTTTTGACTCGCGTAGTGATCTTTTTTAAAGCCATGACAGGTAATTTTAGTCGCGCAATATTGAACACCAACCAAACAAGATTAATTGCGCGACTATGTTTACCTGCCAATAAATTGAAATACTAATAATAATGATGAAATTTCAACTGATTTCCAACCTCACAAGAGAGGAAATTGGGAATTAGAAAAGAGCAAGTTGGATATTGCTTATAGAGGCGTTTAAAAATAGGAAATGGTGCCTTGCCTATACGCCAAGGCAAGATTAGATGTATGTTTACCTTTGGGGTTTTGCACATATTCCGATTCTTTCGTTTCACTCCATATATTACTGATCGTTAAAATTTGTGATCTAAAATAACTTAGATATTTGTTGTAGCTATATATAAATAAGGGAAAATGCTCAAATATACTATCGAACTTTAAGAAAAAACTCATTTGTGTCATTCATTAAAAGTTTGACTCATTTATGTCATTTTTGTTTGAGAAAAGGCTCATCCATGTCATTATTTGTTAATTGAAAACAAGTCCGATTTTGCAAAACCATTATTTACACGTGGTCAATTATGATACGACTCCGTTTTTTAAAGGGAAGACTCAAATGTGCAATCGAACTTTGAGAAAAAACTCATCTATGTCATTTATTAAAAGTTTGGCTGATCTATATCATTTCAGTTGACATAAATGAGTTTTTTCTCAAATGAAAATGGCATCAATGATTGAAAGGTTGATAGCATATTTTGAGTCTTTTCCCTATAAACAATTTCATTAAAAGTAAAAGAAGAATTTTATGGTTAAAGTGTTTCTAATTATAGACTTGTATGTGATATTCTTTTGGAATGGACTAAAAAAAGAAAGTGTACCACATAAGTTGAGACGTTAAGAGTATATAATTTAAGTATATTCTTAAACTATTTATTCCACACACATTGATTCAATTTTGAATACACTTTACTGTATAGTAATGTGCGTGACGGCAAAGAGGAAGAATTAGTTGGATGGCAGGTGAACATGAAAATGTTGTGGCCCTTGTGGGAAGAGTGGCAAGATATCTCCTAGTGTAAGACGGAGGTTGTTCTCGATATGCATTATGAAGTCATGATTTTAAAATATGATTTTAAATTAGGTTTGGACATGTGATTTGAGATCTCAAATACTTCAAAAAAAACATGATTTGAAATTTGAAAACAATCATTTTAAATTCTGCAAAAAAAAAAAAATTGGGAGTAGGGAAGGGGAAATCAGTAAGAGATTACAATGTGGGAATCGAACCCTCACCAACAAGGTGGGAGTTCGGGTAGTCAACCAACAGACCTACAACAATTCCGCATTGCAAAATATAACTCATGTTCTGCGTGAAGAAATTATTTATACCATGTGAAATAATTATATTAAATAATAACTAGTTACTACTATTACTAACAAGTGGATCTTTATAAAATTATGTGTATAATTTCGAAGTTTGTAATCACAAATATTTATTTATAAAAGAACATAAAGATATGTGACTATTGATGTGAAACATTACGATATATTTTGATATATTGTTTATGAATTATGATTTGCTCATTTGGTAAGATTGTATAAAAATTGAGAAATTTTGATAGTTACATAACTTGTGCATTTCCGTGTTTATAAGAAAAAATACAACTCAATAAATTCAACTTGCATGTTCAAACAATACTTCAATTTCAAATCATGATTTCATATTGCATGTCAAAATGAGTCTATAGTTAGGCAGACACAAATTGGAGATTTCAAGTTAACTTAGGGACTATTTGCTTGTTGGTTAGTGAGGAGTTATTCATGTATTAAAACTAACAAAATTACTTTGTACATTTTTAGGTTACAAATATGAGGAAAAATCTACCATAAGTTGTACATTGTTTTTCTTCTCTTTTTCCACATAAAAAACAGCATTGCTAATACAATCTTTGATTCATATTTTCTTTTCGTCTTGCAAATACATTTATAAGTCACGAAGAAATTTATGTATTTTTTTTGTTTATATATAATAGAAAGTATAATAACCAATTAATTTTTACATTATCAATATGTACATAACTCTAATTAGCAACCAAACAAAACCCCTTAACACCGAACTTTTAAAATTATATATTCAATTTAACATTTATATAAGTTTTTTTTAAAATTATTTTCATCGTATATATCTGTATTTTTTTAATGGAAAATATTGAAGGAAGGGATGAGTTGAAATGGATTTGAAGAAGGTATGTTTTGCTGGTTTGTTAAGCAAAGAACGGGAATCAATTAAATGTGAAAAGTCTTTTCGTCTACGGTAATTCATTTTCTTGAAAATAATATGCGTAGTTATAGGGAAACAGCCAAATGTACCCTTAAGACCTTAACTATTTTTATTTTTCTATTCCATTCACCCAACTCTTTTGTTAGAAAATTTACCTTGTATAGCTAAATATATATATAAATTTAGGATTTGAAACAAGTTAGTTAAAATATGTCATCCAATATTAATTTGTGTGATATTTTTACTAAATATAAAATTAATGTAATAAAACTTTAGTTTATGATGCTGTTTTTAAACTTTATGTTTGCACCAACCATGAGGTCCAACTGCTACTCCCCTTAGGTTCTGAAATGATAACAAAGGGAAAAAAGAAGAAGAAGAAGAAGAAGAAGAAGAAGAAGAAGAAGAAGAAGAAGAAGAAGAGTGAAATTGAAGAGGAGGAGAGATGTAATTAGATTAGCATAGCAGTGAAGCTGAAGTGGAGAGACTAGCAGATCAGAGAAAGAGAAAGAACTTGAAGAGCACCGCCGTATGACGTCGCGCAATCAGGTTTTCTAATTTGTATGTGAGTTTTGGGATTGTATCCAATTTGATAATTCATTTTCCTATTCTGCAAACAGTTTTCATGTGCTAGATTGTTTAGAAAGTATAATTGGCTAGGGTTAAAGATTATCATCACACAGTTCTTCTTTGGAAGCTACAAAACAATTAACAAATTAGAGACATAAGTTAGAGATATAGAATTAAAACAATGGAACTAATTACTTACTTACTTTCACTTATAGCAAACCAACACATGGATAGGATAGGGAGGCATTCAACATTATATGCAAAGGTTAATATAGGAAACCAATCTTTATTATCCATGCGACTGTGCTGTGTTTGATGTCAATTGTAGAAACTTATGGCACTATGTGAAAAGATAAAAACAAATGAATAACCTTCCACAAATGTACACCCCTTGATCAATAAGTGCCAATGACTTCCATGTTTGTATGTGTACCTGTACCAACTACCGAACCTTACTACTGAAAACCTCTCGTGCCATTGTGCTAAAGAATGATTGCTCCTCAATCTCTGCTTTAAGAAGATTTGATGCGCTACCCAGTCCACGTTTAACAGTGTCAGCCATTTTAGGACACTCCACAAGAACAAATTCTTCTAACGATGGTAGATCCATACAGAAAGCCTCTGTACAAAGCCGTTCCACGCTTCCAGATTTTGTAATTCTCAGGACTTTCAACTCTGACAGCACGATTATTTTATCGTTTTCCTCTTCCCTTTCCCTTTCCCTTTCACTTTCTTCATTGTTTATGAGTTCTACCAGATTTGGCATGTCATTTACCTTTAACTCTTCTAGTTTGCCAAGACTTCGAGCCGAAAATAGATTTCTCAGGTTTCTGCAGCTTCCTATATGAACAGCTCTGAGGTTGGGAAATAAAACATGTCCATTTTGAACATTTGCTGAGACACCTTCTGGTTCTTCTCCTATGATTCTTGTCAATCTGTGACACTCCACAATTTGGAGATTATTCAGTTGACATAGATTTTGAGCAGCTACAGATGGGATTATGGGAATACATATTCCAAGTTATCACAATACCTAATCAATACATCAGTTAGGTTACTGAAGCATTGTTTATTTTGAAGGGTTGCATTCAGGAGTAACTGCTTAGCTACTCTCCAGATTTCGAACAGTGTAGGCAATCTAGCTAACCAGATCTTTTTGAGCGTTGAGAGGAGCTTCTGTTCTTCATCAAAAGCTGCCTCGTTAAGTTGAAATATATCGAGTAACTTGTTACATGAATACACATGAACTTCTTCAATACTTGATAGCCTCTGGAGCAAGGAAGTTTGAATTAGAAAAAATAAATTATCACAATTTTCAACCCTTAGAATCCGCAAATTCTGGAAGGAACCTGGTTTGATTGGGAGGACAGAAAGTGAAAATAGCTTCTTGAACGTCCGAAGATGTAATTTCTTCAAAGATCCTAAAACTAAAGGTGCATCGCTATGAAGAACCTCATCAATGAAATAGGTAATTTCATCATTGGCAGTTATTTCAAGAGTTTTCAAGTGATTTAAGCCCCCTTCGACATCAAAGATACTTTTTAGTATTACCTTGGATGCACAGAACATTGTCAATTCCTTTGAGAATTGAAGCATATGCTTCATCCCATTTGGTATACCAGTCTTTATTTCTCTAAGATAGAACCTCCTAGAGTTTGGATAACATATAGCTGAGTGGTAACCTACTGTTATCTCAAACTTGTGTATGCTAGGAAGATCAAAGTTCTCAGGGAAAGCTAGAAGGGTGGAGACTTCCACACACAAAATATTTAATTGGGGCAGCGACATTAGCTCAGACAAGCTTACTTGGCCACTCCCTTCAGTAGATCCATCAGCTAGCTGCCACAATCGAAAACTCCAACCCATATAAAGTTCTTCTAATTGAACAAGGCGCGATAGCAAGTTCTCCGGGATTTTCTGAAGGTACACACAGAATGACAAATCCAATAGTCACAAATTAACCAAGTCCCCAAATTCATTTGGAAGTTGTGTGATAGAGGACCCGTATAAACTTAAAATTTCCAGGCCCTTTAATTTTCCAAGAATAGATACATCAGCTAACTTGCAGTGGTCTAAACGTAAAGTTCGCAGGTTTGTGAGAACTTCAACGGATGATGGAAAACTGAGGGGAAATGTATTTTTTCTTGTGGCATTCGGGACTAACTGATAGAGAGGATTTAGTGAATGGATACCAACCCTTTCACTTAAATCCAAAACCTGGAGCATTTTCATCTGTATAAAAAAGTCCACTGGTATCTGTTCAAGACTTTCATTTTCTCCAAGATGTAAAATTTGAAGATTGGGGCAATGTACATCACTTGGAAGCACATGGATATTATTGTTCATGAAGGAAATAGCTGTTTTTTTGGCTGAATGACTCCCTTGGTGGGCACTTGTTCAGATTGTGACCAGCTCTTACCATGAATCCATGCTTCTCTTCAGATGCTATATATATAGCAAAGTCACGAACAACATCATGCATTTTAACGAAACCTCCTTCCCAACATCAAGCAACAGGCAAGATGATTTAAGTTGGCCAACTCTTAAGCACACTCTGGCTCTAGCTTCTTCAATAGTGTCCACATCTGAGAACAACCCTTTTCCTGTCCAGTCTCTAGTCAAGTCTTCAATACTTATTTCACGATCTTCTGGGTACAAACAACACATCAGAAAGCACAATCTGATTTCCTCATTTTCCAAAAAATTGTAGCTCAAATCCAGGCAGGAGAAAATGGTCTTGCTTGCATAAGTGGGGCTAAAGGGTTGGGACTTCTTAAGGAGCTGTAGTGCTGCTTCCCACTCCACTTGTTCTTTTCCTCGTAATGCACTTCCAACAGTCACAAGTGCCAATGGCAGGCCTTGACATTCTTTGACAAAATTCATGACCGTGCTATCCAACTCCGGACAAAGGTCAGAAGTGCTCGTGCAAGCATATTTCCTCAATAAATGCGACGATTCTTCTTCTGATAAAAGTCTCAATGGTATTCCTTTGGTCCCTATAGCTGTACATAGATCTTTTTGTCGCGTGGTAAGCATAATCCTACAGGCCTTGTGCTCATCACCATGAGGGATCCCTATCTCTGCTAAGTCAATGTATGACCAAACATCGTCCAGTATGAGAAGTACGCTCTCATTGGACAGTCACGTATAAAGTCTACCTGCTCTTCCTAATGTGCTTTCCTCCTCAAGTCTGTGATTTAACATATCCGCAATTTGACCCTGGATCTTTCTTATGTTTGGCGTTTGGGAAACAACCACCATTATAACTTCCTTAACAATTCCACAGTCTCTAGCCAATTTCCCTACTTCTACGGCAAGAGTGGTCTTACCGATGCCCCCCATGCCATAGATCCCTATCCCCTTATAGTGGTCATCCTTTAGTTCCTCAATGATCTGATTCACTGCTTCTCTTTGCTGTTGAATAATGTTTGCCACATTTTTTCTTAGCTGGTAAGCAATAATTGGATCCATGGTTAGTCTTCACTTGATAGAAACATCATCCGCACTTAGCAGAGCACCATTTTCTCTACTGACGTTTTGACCAACAACGGATGAACTACTTGCCACCATCTCAATAACTTAGTCCTCTTCGGGTTTTTCTTGGTCAGAAATGAATGGTATATTCAAAGGAAGGGCCTGCGGTATGGATACATCAGATGAACTACTTGCCACCATCTCAATAACTTGGTCCTTTTCGGGTTTTTCTTGGTCAGAAATGAATGGTATATTCAAAGGAGGGGCCTGCAGTATGGATACATCTTCCGTGAGAGTTCTACCAAGAAGTTCTTGGATGGTCATGATTTTCTTAGTTGCCATCTTGCTCTGCTTATACCGTGAGACCAGATGAGGGAGGCACATTTTGCTCAAGTTTTGAGTTTTATCATCCCATGATTTGATCTCAGCAGTGATTGCATCTACCTCTTGTAACCAATTTTTAACTGTGCTTTTGATTTCTCTGTCATTTCTTTTGGCATAGTTCACCAATGCTTGGATATCTTGTGTCTTCTCTTGCAACCTTTCAGCCTGCTTTCTCAGATTGTCGGCATTTTTGTTATACTGATAAAGATATCTTAGTTGATTGCCGAGAGGGGCCACCGTATAGTCAACAGCTTTTGCCACCAATGAAGCACCTAATGTCATCCATGGCTGCATTGTCTCTAGACTCTCTAGTCTCCCACCTGAAGTAGGTGCCAAATGAAAGTTTTGAGTATATAAACAATCTTTCTACAACTGGAAATTAGAAAGTATGACAGTAAGTAGGTTTGTATTACTATTCTGAACCCTAGATGAAACTTTTTCTCATGTTGCAAATAATAATTTTATATATTTACCACTTATTATATAGATAGAACTAGAATCTCTGAAGCAGAAAGAATTTGGTTGGAAAGGGAGCTTGAAGAGGATGAAATCTTCTTAGTCATTAAACATTGTGTCCCAGATAAGGCACCAGGACCGGACGACTTTACTATGACATTTTCTCAACATGCTTGAAGCATTTCATGGTAAAATCTATCAATCATTTATTTATTTCCTTGATTTCTAAGAGGAAAGGGGCAATTGAACTCAAGGATTACATACCAATTAGCCTTATTAGTAGTGTCTACGAAATTGCATCAAATCTATTGACAGAAAGACCCAAAACAGTGATTGGGAAATTGGTGTCAGGAATACAAAATGCTTTTGTTAGGGGACGACAAATCACAGATGCAAGGGGAATCTTAGTAGCTCAGTTGGTTGATAATCTGAATCCCCACCTTATTAGTGAGTGTTCGATTTCCCCTTATTTCAGGGTTGCATATGAACATGCTTAAGAGCACTATCTATCATGTTACCCAAGTTTCAAATATGGAAGAGCTTTCAGATATCATGGGTTGCAAGGTTTTTTTCCTTTCCTCCACTTTTCCGCGTCTTCCTTTTGTTGTTAAATATAAATCTATTGAAATCTGGATAGGAATTGTTGAAAAAATTTAAAGGAATTTTAACAACATGAAAAACACAGTATCTTTCATTTAGTGGCAGTCTCAACACTAATTAACAATGTTCTTGTGAGCATGAAACAGATCATGAAAACTTTAGCAATTTGTTTGAGTACAAAGATATGAAGTAGAATCAAGAGAATCCGTGTAAACATACCTTTTGGTCTCTAGCTAGTTGATTGAACAAAAATCTACTTGCATAGAAATATCCTGTGTCTTTTCTTTTGGTTTCTTCTTTAATTTTCTATTAAAAAAAATGGAACACTTTGTTGACAAACTACAAAGTTGGCTATTTCAAACATGGAGCTACTTGCATTTTTATTTATTTTTTGAGAAGGTAACAACTTGTATTCTATTTCCACAAAAACAGAAACCTGCCACAAGCTACTTGCATTTTTTTTGCTTTCTAAACATGGTTGTCATTGACAAATTAGGTTCTTTTTTTTGAATGGGTCATGTCAAATAATTGAGTTTGTGATGACTTTCATAGATTTGGCTCCCCTTCATTACACTTTGTCTCTATTTTGTTAACTACATATTTAGATGAAAAACATGTGTCTTATTTAATTTTTAAAGGTCACGATTATATTGCATTAACAAGTATCAGAATCATAGTTAAGTGAATAGGTTTTGTAAAAAGTTCTCTCCAAATTTTTTATTGTTTGGAATATTTTTTTATTTTATTTGAAACTCAATATATATGATGATGAAAATTCCAAATACAGTTATCCAACTGGAAGTTGTATTTCAAATTTAAAATTGTGTTTCCATCATACTTGTCATTTTTGAAGTTGTAAATCAAAGCATTAAATCATGAATATTATTCCAAATATTCTTTGCAATAAGTATAACAAAACACATCTCAATCTTCCTAAAAATCAAATATTATTTATTTTTTGAATAATGTCCAAACACCTACTTAAAAGATAAGAAAGTCATTTTAGGGATGTTGAAATTGTGAATGGATTTTGCATATTTAAAATCACATCTCGAATAAATAATTTTGTAAGAATAATATTTCTCATCCGCTTTATTCGTTACGTTCTTTCTTCTCCGTGTTTGTGTTCTTTCTTTCCCTTGTTTGTTATCACGTCAATTGTCCATTGAACCTTGTTTTAAACACTATGTAACCCATGAAAAATCAAGATGCTATTCAAAATCAATATTAAAAAATAAATAAAATGAGTAATGGCAGAATGAAAAAATCAAAAGGAAAAAGAAAATATCAGCAAAGAATTGGCACCGTAGTAACCTTCAAAAATTATAGAATTTATATCTATCTATATATATAATTAAGGAGAAACATAGACAAGGTGATGTAACACCTCTCTATGGCCTCCATTTGCATTTATCTTTTTTCTCCTTTTTTTGGCTTTTTTTCTTATTAAATTAATTATTGTATCGTAAAAGTAAATTACTTAATTTCTTACAAATAAATATTTTATTAAAGGGGGAACATTTACAATAAAAACTCTTCACATTCTTTTTTTATTTGTTTGTCTCACTTGTAACCATAAAATGAAAATATTACGTTATATTTTAAGTATTTTTCTCTTTATTATTTCATTTATTCACGAGGATTTATTACTCATGACTTACACCTCTTTATACTTTTAATAATATTCATAACTCCCATAATTTTTATGTCCATAACCTCCAAACTTAAATTTGTAAGTTTATAATGTCTTATAGTATTCCTTTATTTTGTCTATAAATTCATATTGGTTTGTGAATGAACTAACAAGTAACAAAAAAGAAGTACATGAAGGTAAGAGATATTTCATTTCATTCTCTAAGTCTTTATTTTTCATTTCCTCTATTTTGCCTATATAAATTCATATTTAGTTTCATGAAGATTCACATTCAACATTATCATTTTCCTTCTTCATCATATTTTTTGTGAATTAACTAGCATGTAACAAAAAAGAAGCAAAAGAAGGTAAGATATATTCATTTATTTTTTTTACTTGGACATGCTTTCTTAATATTTTATTTATGTATGTATTATCATTCACTAAGCAAATATGATAAAAAAAAAATACATTTACTAATAATGAATAATGTGTTGTCAGTATACAATTGTTCTTTCTAATAGTTAGTTTGTGGAATATTGTCACACCCCAAACTCAAGGGGCGCAACTAGCTCCTAATGCCAAAACTCAGGCCCGAGTCGACCCTGCTGAACCATTTGCTACTAGCGCATGGCAGTCACATGCAGTTAAGAAAACAAACAAGTATATCTTGGCTTAAAACTAAGTCCTCGGCCTGTAAGGCCCCTGTCAACAGATCTACAAAAGAAACAGCTACTCCCAAGAATTCATATAAAGAAATTGTCAACTAGCACAGAAGTCCTGATTGGGCCGTCAAGGCCACCATGATCTATATACCAAAACTGAAAGCATGTATATAACAAGACAATGCATCACACAACTAACAAGCTTCAGCAAACCAACAAACTAGGCCAGCATGGCCATAACGTAGTTATAAACTCCACACACTAGTCTGCAAGCCTCTAAGAGTATTAACGATTGGTGGGACAGGGCCCCAGCCTACCCATAAAAATATGTACAACAAAATCTAACAAACCTCCAAACCCTGGTAGCTCCGGAGGAAAGGGGCTAGCCAACCGGATAGAAGTCAATTTTGTTGCTGAGGAGGTCTACTCAGTCGTCTGTCAGGACCTGCATGCATGAATGCAGTGCCCCCAGGCAATGGGGTGTCAGTACAAAATAATGTACAGAGTATGAAAGGCAATAGGCTATGATCGAGTATCCTAATCTACTGGAATAATTCGATAAATAAATCAAGGATAAGATAAGTGTACTGACCTGCTCCTAAATCTAAACTTATCAAAAATAATAAAACAACAACCTAAGAGAGCCCCCATAAGCTCGGCAGGTACAAGCAGCACACAATACCACTTACGCAGGCCCCTATAAGCCTGGAAGGTGCCAATCACTCTATATATCCCTATCGATAGTCCCCCTAGCCCTGTAGGCAATCACATAGCCCTCTTAGGCATTAATATAGCCCCATAGCAGCACATAGTTCTCTTAGGTATCAACATAGCTTATAGACAACTCATAGCCCTCTTAGGCAACAACATAGCCATGTAGGAAGCCCATAGCCTTCTTAGGCGTCAATATAGCCCTGTAGGCAACTCATAGCCCTTCTAGGCATCAATATAGCCCCGTAGGCAACATATAGCCCTTTTAGTTATCCATATAGCCCCATAGGCAGAACATAGCCCTTCTAGGCATAAATCACATTCCTGCAGCTAACCACAATAGTCCCAAGGGCAACAATAACAATCAAATCATTAAAAGCGAGCAATCTAATTATAAGCAACCTGTACAAATAGACTCTAAGTCGTGTCCAACATAGGGACGCTACTAACTGAATAAAAATCCCGACAAGGGAGGATTAGATCAGCTCGAGCAGCCAATAATCAACAATAACGGCTACAATTATATCAAGTATATTAAGGAACATGTCGTAAGTAGGGAATAGCCTTAACATACCTTTTTCGCTAAATTCACGTGGCGTAATAACTTTTACTCATAACTCCCTCGATACTACAACAAGGTAGGACCATAATCAACACACAAAATAAAAGATACCATGACAATACGATAAAAGATATGTATTTCCGTCGCAAATTGCTATTTGCTGCTTATAAAAGCTAGAGTCGATGAAAGAAGGGTCTTACCTCAATCTTAGGTTCGTAATACGCTTCAAAACCTTCAAATATATTCAAACCCTTGCTGTCCCTACACTAAAGTGTGATATGCTACGAAATCGATAAAACAAATTATACCACGATGATGAGCCCAACACGTAGAACAACTTTCGTCAAGGACTTAAGTCGAGAAAATCTATACTTCACTTGATCCTAGAAATGGGTTTCTCTAATTTCTCTAGTTATTAGCTTAAAAATGAAGAAAAAGTTCGAAGAAGAAGATATATGTAACTTTCCACCGACCTAGGGCCTCACCTCACGTGTCTGTTTGCGCAGTCCTACAAAAACGCAAATATCTCTCTATTCTGAAGTCATATGAACAAACGGTTTGATGCGTTGGAAACTAGACTCGTAGACCTTCGATTCAATAGTTTCTGGGCCCCATAAATCTTTATATATTGGGAGAAAACCTCCAAGACATTTGACCCAAATTTCAGAGAAATCTTTAAGAAGGAACTTACGATAACTTCCGCCAACTTTTATTTTGCCACTTACCTAACTTCAAAACTTGAGATGCAACACTTGAACACTTAAAATAGGACATACCACATCATTCTTAATTTATTACCCACCCTCCTTGTATTTCCATGGAGATACGAGTAATTTTAGACGTTTCGAAAAGTCAGGGTGTTACAAATATAATGTAATTTGATTATAATATTTGTTAGATTTCAAGAGATGATATTTGTTAGTACTATTGAAAAATAATACATAGATGTATTACAAACAGTTTAAATTTCTTCTTTCTTTTAATATAATTATTTTTTAATTGGTATATGATATTTTCTTTATTCATATTTGTTTATCCAATTGATATACCATATGATGAAGAATTTGACATATGGAGCAAAATATGATGGTGGATCTACTTGCAAAGAAAGATGATAGAAGAGGGGGCGGGGGGGGGGGGGGGGTGGATAATTAGAGATTATTTTTGCTAAAACATTTTTTACTTTGACTTGTATTAGTTATTTAGCTACTTTTGCTAAAAAAAAAAATTAAACTTTGGTTTGTATAAATAATTTAGCTACATGTATTGTCAATGCTTATCATTTGGTCCTTTTATGAAGCACAATTAATATAATTATCTCATTTCAACAAAAAAAAATTGTGATGATTAGGAGTTTCATTTTTATTATACTTGCAAAAAGTAATTGAAAAAATAAAATATTGATTTCATGATGCCCTTTTTTTTGCGCATGTAACAATCTATTTTCGTCGCTGTTCTTTTTTGTTTGAAATGTACCTATAATATTTATACAGTCATCGATTATTATATTTTTTTTGTTCTTTTTTTATATATATATTTTCACCCGTTACTTTCATTTATTTATTTATTATTAATGCATTTAATGTCTAATAAAATTGTACATTTGAGTTATTTATAACTCATGTCTCTTCATCATACTTGTAACTTCTAATCTTAAATATTATTCATAATTTTTGTATGTTTCATTTTTCATAATTCTTATAAATATTTAATTAGTGTTTAAAAAATT